GGAACAGTCTCCGAGAGTAGCGTACCGTGTATGTGGCACATGCGAGAGTGTTGCTTGAGGCAGTTGGCAAACGATAACGCACCACGCTCTGCACGCCTGCTGACTCCTGAACTGACACTCGGAGCACTGAAGCCTCGCAACGGTTCCGCCTCGTCAGCCTCCTCCTGACTTCACCTTACACACTTTACCAGCACTCTATCAGGTACCATCAATGTACTACATAGCTATGCGCTAGCTATATGACTTGTTCGTACACTCTGAGCATGACGCTATCGTTACGCAAGGATGTCTATCCTCAGGCAGTCAGGCATCTATGCACCACCGGCCCAAGGAGGAGCTCTCTCCCGCTAGTGGCGGGACAGATTTGCCCTGTCTACTCAGCAGGGAGCGCAGCCGTGTGGCATTGGGTCGATGCATAGGTCCGCGACCACTCACGAGCACGCTCTACTACGTCGCAGGAGTTACTCATATGGATCGGCCGTGCTCATCGTAACAGTCGACTCGTGTACGCAAGGATCACTGTCATGTTCTTATTTGTGGACTTACTCTCTTTTAAGCGATATGATTATCTGAGTATATTTGCATTCCATGGGCTGCTGATGTTACACGGAGTTAATTAGTTGGATTTTCTCACGTACCTATAACGCTCAGAAGGAAGTGAGATGATCGGTGTTCGCGTCTGACAAACTTTTGCCGATACCATTTTGCATGGTACAGGCAAGGCAAAGTCACGCTGAGAGTCAGAGAGTAGTATTCGGGATCCGTTTGTATTTAGTGTATATATGATATTAGCTCAAAAAGCACGGATACAAAGTCGGCATAGTGCGCAGGCCTTAGCAGGGTTTCCATTCGAGCGCCTAGTTCTATCGCTCACAGTGTTAGTCGAAGGTGATTGAGGCCCACTCACGCGCACTCACAGCACAGTCAGTGTGGTACTATCGGTACTCGTTTTAATATTCGCTTCATTTTTGTAGCTTGCAGTCAGATGGCATGTCGCTACGTGCCAGTCGTATGAGTGCTGCACATGTTTCCCTGAAATGTGTCGCTATCATGGTTTCTATACTCGTTTTTGTCATCTTCATAGTCCTTTAATAGTATTCTAGCCTGCGGAATGTTCACTCGCGCACCGACCGACCTACCAGCTATAGTCGAAGAATTAATATACCTTGACTATCTATCTGTATCTAGATTACTTGCGCAGATGTAGCGTATTCTACGACACGCACCATCTTGTCAGTATCATGAGACCTTGATGTGTGTAAGACTCTGCGAATGATTAGCAATAATATTATTTCGTGTTGTACACATGGATGTTATAAATCCGCGTGGCATGAGTATAACAGTATTCGAGGATGTAGCAAGGTGGAATGCTAACGCTCTTATCTAAGCCTGACCTGCACTTGGATTACACACCGCGTATCGCAATACTCTCTCAAGGTTACCTATATAGCAGATGAGATATGGGAAACGAACCAATGATTACCTATGTCATTGTATTTAGCATCATAGTACTTATATCTAGCACCCCGATTCCGTGCCATCTGAGCGCATACGTCACACCATGCACAATGCATTAGCAATGGAATTGATAGACGACCATGAATATCTGGTCCACTGCTATCATAGATGTAGATAACTTTGCTCTATATGTCCACTGCTGGACCGAGCCGAGGGTCATCTTGTGTATCACTTATTCAGTACTTGTAACACTTCACATGGGCTTCGGTATGTCTATGTGCACATAGCAGTTTGCACAGCGATTCAGTCGTACACAAATGAGCATAAGACCCTATCTCAGTCACGCCAATATATTAATACATATTTCATCACAGATGAACACATGAAGACTTCATAGTTTTGAGACGCTGCATGTTCACGTCAAATATGCCGCTCCTGTCCATTATACTATCTATATATCATGAATTTCGACTGATGTCTAACTATGCGCAGTGCTACCACTGGAACTGAGGTCGCAAATAAGCCTCTAGCGGAATCACGGGGATTCGGCCTTAGACAGATAGAGACGAAACTGCTATCGGACAGCATCGTGCTGAGAGCTATCAGTATAGTGAAGCATCACATAATATAAGACAAAATCTATGACGATTGAGGATAGCGTGCGATACTTGTCTTTCACTGCATATTGTGGGGATAGTCTCTCTCTCGCACACTCTGATATTACCGGTATCTATGTGGATGTTGTCATAAAAAGCGATACAATAGGCTTGCGATAACAAAGAATAGGTGCAGAGCAGTGAAGATACGAAAGGTACTGAATCAGAAATATGTAACATGAATGAAAATAGGGATTTATTCTAGTATTGTATGACAAGCGGTTATTTTTAAATCCATGAGAGTGGTGAAGGCACTTAGGCTGTAAGAAGTATACGATCAGAATCTCTTGACTAGACATATATCACGCTAGAGCAATAGACACACACATCTGTCATCATGTACACAACACTACGAGCACCACGACTAGACACACACACTAGGCGATGGCTCATTAGAGGACATCCGCACGACGACACACACACACGACGCACATCTATCGAGAAGATGCACACACAGACAGAGAGCGCGTAATGCCACATACACAATTCTAGCTTGTAACTAAGATCAGTTATCTCTTTTTTCATCTGTTTTAGAACGTTGTGCACTAACTCTATCCATCCATGCTACATATTACATCTTGTTTTCTGCCATGTTCTCGGTATGTGTAAACCTCAGTCTCACTCGATGTGCATATCTTGTATCCTAAGTGAGAGTTATTCGAGTATCTAAAATGACAGAATTCGCTGTCGATATGATACTACTTGGACACGATTGTCGAGTCAACACAGTGCTGCATACAGAGACATAGTAATATGTCTGGGCGCTGGTATATTGGCCACGTCTCACACTCACCCGCACACTTATTATAATCCTATTAAAAACTATACTTGTTAATCCAATGCAAAACCTCATCTATTTGCTCTGCAATCTCGGCTAGACACAATACAAAAGAGAGCCTAGAGAAATCAATACAAAAGCTAATATCTCACACCTTGCACATGAATCCCTAGTAACCAACGCCGATGTGGATACTTCTCGTTGATCGAGATACAATTTCTTTGAGCGTATCAGCACCGTAACTCGCTCACCGAACCCTCTCGACGGTAACCGAACATACAGATCATACTCTATAGCCAGTAACTCGATCACAGCCAGATACGCACACTGAAGTCAACCCAGAACAATACGGAATATCTCGCCGGGGGGACAACTGTCTGTACAGACGCAAGTTTTGGCTGAATATAATCTCTTATTACATCATAGTATTAGCACACTCATATCAGTAGGTAAAGCTGTACTACATGCAGTAGAGAGACTATATAGAAGCTCAAAACACAGCTCAAGTATCTTATTATGACTTATATTACTCACATACTGAGAGACTGGAGTTGACCTCTACCTGTCTAAACTTTTTCATAAAACACAGCTGGCACACACACACACACACACAGACACACATATCACACGATGATCACGTATATGGCAACTAACATATACGTAGACCCTAGATGACAGATGTATAGATCCTATGAATAGATCGACATATGAAACGATGCTCGCCAAGTTAAATTTAGACGATAACAGTTAAATAAGGCGTGAGGCATCAATTGAATAAAAGAATAGGCAGACTGAATTGACTGTAGCCGCTATCAATAGAATCATTCGTACTCAAATCATCTCATCTGAGATAAAGTAAGTAGGAATAATGATGAAGATAAGGAAATCCACACATACACATAACATGATCGTAGCGACTGCAATCGACGTAAAGATTCCTCACTACGAATAAAGGTAGCAATAGAGTGACATACCACGAAAATAACTATCGAAATGGGCACTGATCGATGAATAAGAAGCTGCACTAGTCGTAATCGCAGAAGTCCACTCGAATGAAATAGTGATCACAGCAATGATGATAACTAAAAACGCATCTCATCCAGCAAGCAACTTGAGCAGCGTATCACAGACACCTAACAGTCAACGAACAGATCGACTATCAAAACGAGGAGTCGGACAACAATGAGACACTACAACTATCAAGCACTACAGACAACCACCAACACCCTATCGACAACGGACAAAGCCAACATCACACAATCAACAATTCCACTTACATCATCAAAACAACAACAGGCAACATCACACTGCACGAACAACAACAACATGGCACATCAACATTACAAACACAGCATGCAAGCGAGTCACATCGCAGGAACCCACAAGCAACACCTAACTACCACATCATATGAGCCACACAACAACCATGCACATCCACACATCAACAATCAAGAATCTCACTCATACAAGACTCCCACACTTAACACACACACACAACAAACACAACAACAACACATCAAGCATCACGGCACCACCACCAGCATAACAGACAACACACAACAAATCTAACAGATCACAACATACAACACAATCACAACAATCAACTAAAACTGCACCATCAACCAAGAAAATCACCCCGCTGACCTTTTGTACTTACACAGCTTGGAGCGACATCACAACAAAAGAGGCAGCGCGCGAACCACGCACGTGATAGGTCTACACATTCCAAGCATCACAATCACCATAATCATTAAGAATCCACACAATGACCTATTTGTCATCGCAAACATAAAGGAAGTACAGTAAGAGAATAGTTTCATCAAGTAACATGTCTCGTCTATTATCTTTAGGTACCGAGTCCTTGCTACTAAACCAGACAGCTTTGAGTGCAGCACCTACGAAAAATTACCAAAATTGACAGGGCGCAAAGCGATAAGCAAATGACACAATGAAGCGTTGTGCAGGACGATTGAGCGATACTGTTGGAGGGAGCTGGCTGGCAGTGTCTGGCGCTCTGAAGGCTCAAAAGTGGTTGGAGACCCATTATGATTTCTCATGACAAACAGAACACATGACACTCGCAATGATTATCTGAGGCAGCGCGATGATTACTTGTACAGATAGCTGTGCAAAGAATGCTCGTATGACTCATATAGCGCATGGATAATGATTATTATAGATGAATCTTCTTATTACAGTATAACGCTGCATATGACGTATCAAAAACTACAGTATACAACTCATATGATAATAGATGTTATTAGGTTCAGACAAATAGACATAAGGGTGAAGAAGAAAAAGTTAGAATAGTGAGGAGGTAATGAAGTAAGATCTTCATATAAACAAATAACAACAAATAATGCTAATCAATTACGCTCTACTAGCTATATCTATTAATCACACTTTCCGTCATTATCTGAAAGGCAGCAAAAGTCCAATCTCATCATATCATACTACATAACATCAGCACCTCACTGGTACATGGATCAACTTCCATTATCAAATTCTATATATGCTAGACAGATGAATAGTTTGCTATGGATAACCTACAGAATTTCTGTTCTAGAACTTGCATAGAGTGCATCTGGTCAAGCGATTGAGCTCCGACTCGCACACACACTCTTCAAAAAATCATAATACTACACGATCTTAAATCAGAAAACACTGACTTACACATCGACAGGCTGTGCAGAGGCCATAGATTTCTGTGTATCATGTGCATGTGTCAACTGATTCAACTGTGTCGGAGACGCTTCTGGTAGGTGTGGCGATTTTAGCGGCAATTTTGGCACTGTCTGAGGTGGGTGTGACATAGATGGAGGGGGCTGGGGTATAGACACAGGGGGTATCTGTGGCATAGAGGAGCTGGGTTGGCTGGCAGGAGGGGGAGGCTGCGGCAATGAGGTGTGTGACATGGACGATGGGGGCTGGGGCAGGGACGAGGGCTGGGGCATTGAGGAATGAGAAGATGCTATGGAAGTGGGTGTGGGCTGAGCCAGCGACGAAGGAGGCTGGGGCACCGTCTGGGGTTCAGGGAGAGGTGGAGGCTTGGGATGGGAATGAGCCTGCCTCAGGGCTTCTGGTTCATCCTCCTCCTCATCATCATCCTCGTCTTCATCGTCATCAGGCATTTCAACCTCATCTGCCGCTCTGATATCTTCCTCGTCCTCATCCTCTGCATAGTCTGAACTCTTACCTGTTGAAAGGACACCATGATATTCATAGTTATTGCATCTAGGAATTTAAACATTTTTTTTACTTATTGGACAAAAACATACCCTACAGAAACTTCACAAATAAACAAATAAACCCAATAAGAGAACAATTAAATATATACATAAAACCAAGATCAAAAATAAATAAATAAAATAATCTACAAAACCACTATATGCAAACAAAATTGTACCATTTTGAGAGTGAAGGATTTGTTGAACCTCCAAGGAAGGTGAAGACGTGGCACTGGCCCCCCCACGGCCAGCAGCCGCAGTCACAGACACTTCTGATGTGGCTAGTGGTGCTTCCTCAGCATTCTGTGTAGGTAATGACCATGACAGTGATTTTTTCTATTTCATTCTCGTTCATATTCTAAGCATCAAATACTAAGACATGATCATTACCCAATAATAAAAACTCACCTGGAAATCCAGGGGAGGAGGGGTCCCAGAGGGGGGAGGGGGCAGAGAAGTGGCTGGGGGAGACTTGGATGATCCGGAGACAACTGACCCCAAGATATTGAGGTTGTTGGCCCCCTCACCTTCACTGCCAGGCATTAGTGTACCTGAACCACATCGCAATAGCAGAGAGAGTGTGGCATTCTCAAAGTTGGTGTTGTAGGGTACATCATACTTGCTGGATATGGGTGTTACCTGGAAGTGTTTGTGGAAAGATGAGTTGCTATATCTTCCATTCTTCCAGACTTCCACTTAGTGTATTCTATGCTCCAACCAAATTTAGCTTACTTCTAGTGTCTAACAAATTATTACTTTTATAATAATAATAAAAGAAAAAAAAAAAGAAGGAAAAATGAAGCTTTACTTCCATACATAACAAAACAGTATCTAATTCCATTCTGGTGATGTGATTTTCATAAACATCAATACCTTGCTTGAGAGAGAACTGTCCTCACTGTTCTCATCAGGATGCTCCATGTCCTCTGGCTTGCGAGGGGAACTGAAGGAGTCTGGGGTGAGCAGGTTCATTGGAGGCTGGATTGGAAAAACACAATTATCTAAATCAATTTTACAATAAAAACAGTAATGATGAAAAATTAAATAATCATGCATTCACTCTTTCTTTTACATCAGTTTTCTTTTGTGATTTCTGCAATCTTCTTCTGTACAAAAGAAAATAATTCCAGTTTGCATTAGCCTGTGGAATGTCTAATTTACATTTTGATCTACCCTAAGGTACACCAAAAATCATGAATCACTTTTTCATATCAAAGTGGTTCAACATCATCATAATATTACAATTATTATTCACAATACTAGTAATAATAATATAAAAAATAGAGAGAAAAAAAGAGATGCAGGCAATCAAGACTTACAAAAAATCAATAACCATAATATTCACAAAAGTAACAAAACATGAGACAGGCACCTGTGTGGCAGGAGGAGTGTGCAATGCAGGGTGTTGCGACGTCAGCGCTCGAGTCTGCTCTTGTGAGAGAGCTTTCTGGGGGTAAGGGCATCAGGAGTGGGTGGGGAGGGGTGGAGGTTGCGTTCCGTATTCCTCATCTGCTCACTGTAACGTCTCGCTTCTCTACGTCACTGGTAGGATTGTGTGTGAGTCTTCGAGGAGCGGGTTCGCAGCGTCAGTAGATGGACCGTCCCACCACTGGCAAGCATAGTATGGAATTTTTCCTCTTTCATTTGTGAAGTTGTTATAGTACTATATCTAAACATATATATTATATAGGTACTGAATTAATACTCTGCATTAAACTAACCATTATTATTTTTATTTTATTATAGTATTCTTTTTATAGTTTAAATAAGTAGATACGCCTCAAATGTTCTCGAGACAGAAACCTTCGCACCTCTATTAGGCCCACTCACTCTCTCTCGACCACTCACATACACAAACGACACTCTCATCGAACCACTACACATACGCCACAACACAAGCAACTCTATCAAAGCAGCACGCAGAGCACGAAGACGCGAGCACGAGCGAGGAGGAACACGACAGCAAGCGACGCACGCGAACGAGCAGTGTCGAGAGAGAAGGGAGAGGGAGAGGATTAGTGAGCAGTGAGGGATAGGAGAGAGGAGGGATGATAAGAGAAGAGAGAAGAGGAGAGAGAGAAGAGTAAGAGAGAAATTGATAGGATAGACATGATGTAAGACGAGTGTAGCGATGGAAGAGGTGAGAGAGCGTGGATACATATATAAAAATGTAGGCAGAAGGGATATGTGAGAGTAGAGTAGAGAAGATAGAAGAGAGAGTAAATGAACGAAGTAGTAGTACAGTAGAGAGATGCAAGCAGTATAGAGGAGTAGAAGAAGTATGAGTAGAGTAAGAGTAGAGAGTAGTAAGAATTTAGAGAGATGATAGTAATCGAGAAGAGGGAGAGTAGGATAGAAATAGAGTAGAGAGAGATGATACAGTATATTATATATTGGGTGGGTGTGGTGTGTGTGTGTATATATGTAACTGAGAGATCTCCGCAACGCAGCATCTTTGATGACGACGCATGTCGGGGCAGCATGGGATGGGCAAGCTGATCGTCGGTGCTGGCGCAAGGCTGGAAAGTAGGTTCGCCTTGTGAGGAGAATCGGTGTTACAACGAGAGGAGGCAGAGAGGCCAAGAGATCAAGTACGTCAGAGATGAGGAGGTAGGAAGAAGGAGCACGACGAGAGCGTGAGGAGGGAGAGAAGAGGAGAGGCAGAACGTGGACGCGACGCAAGGGTAAACAGGAAGGAGAAGAGAGGCAGGGAAGAGGTAGAGGAAGAAGACGGGGGAGGGTACGGAAAAGATGAAGCACACGGTCTCGTCACTGAGTAGAGCAGGTGATCGAGAGGGAAGAGGGAGAGGTGTGCTATACTATCTCTGAGAGTCTTGATAGGGAGAGAGAAGAGAGAGACGAGATGGGGGGTTAGCCTAGAGAGGCAGAAGGAGATCGAGAGACGCAGAGAGCCAGAGAGGTACGACATTTCTCGTACTGGTTTCATGGTTGTATGGATAACTTATAGAAATCGTTTTTGGGATAGTAATACTTGCTAAGGGCTAAGATAAAAGAAGGAGAAGAGCAGGACAGAGAGAGAGAGAGAAGAGGAGAGAGAGAGAGACGGGCGAGGGCAGGGGGGGGGAGGAAGGGAGTAGAAGGAGGAGAGAGCAGAGGAGTGGGGGAGGAAGGAGAGACGAGAGGGGAAGGAAGGGAAGAGAGAGAGGGGGGGAGAGGAAGGAGAGAGAGAGAGAGGGTAGGAGAGAAGGACGAGAGTAGAGAGGCGGGGAGGAAGGGGAGAGAGAGAGGGGGGGAGGAAGGGAGAGAGAGAGGGGAGGCGGGGGTGGGTAGCGGCCGGAGGGGGAGGGGCGGCGTGGGGTGTGGGGGCGGAGCGAGAGGGGGGGTGGGGGGGGTAGAGGGGTGGGGTGGGGGGGGGGAGGGGGGCGAGGGGGGTGGGGATTTGGAAAGAGGGAGAGGAGAGGGGGGGATGGAAGAGAGAGAGAAGGGGTGGAGCGGAGGGTGCCGTTCGAGTATACGTGGCAATGCGTGGTGATTTGCAAAGTGGCTGGAGGGGCGGTGGCTGGGAGAGGGGAGAAAGAGAAGTGAGAGAGAGAGAGAGATGAGAGAGAGAGAGGAGTAAAAAGAGAAGAGAGAGAGAGAGAGAGAGAAGAAGAGAAGAGAGAGAGAGAGAGAGAGAAGGAGAGATGATTGAAGGAGGGGGGGCGGGAGAGGAAGGGAGAGAGAGAGAGGGTTAGGAGAGGAAGGAGAGGGAGAGGGGGGAGGAAGGAAGAGAGAGAGGGAGGGGGGGGAGGAGAAGGAAGGAGAGAGAGAGGGGAGGAGGGGAGAGAGAGAAAGAAGGAGAGAGAGAGGAGGGGGGAGGAAAGGAGAGAGACGGAACGGGGGGGAGGCGGGAAGGGGGGAGGGAAGGGGGAGAGAGAGGGGAGGAGGAAGGAGAGAGAGAGGGGGGGGGAGGAAGGACTGAGAGGAGGAGGCGAGGGAAGAGAGCAGGAGAGCAGAGAGAGAGAGAGAGGAGAGAGAGAGAGAGAGAGAGGAGAGAGGCAGAGAGAGGAGGAAGAGGAGAGGGAAATGAAGGGCGGGGAGGGGGGGGAGGAGAGAAGAGGGGGAGGGGATGAGAGAAGAGAGAGAGGAGGGGAGGGGAATGGAGCAGAGAGAAGAGGGTCGGGGCTGGCGAGGAGGGAAGGGAGAGAAGGGGGGGAGGGGGGGAGAGAGGGGAGAGAGAGAGAGAGAGAGAGAGAGTGAGAGAAGAGAGAGAGAGAGAGAGAGAGAGAGAGAGAGAGAGAGAGAGAGAGAGAGAGGAGAGAGAGAGAGAGAGAGGAGAGATGAGAGAGAGAGAGAGAGAGGGAGGAGGGAGGAGGGAGAGAGGGAAGAGGGGGAGGGAGAGGGGAGAGGGGGGAGAGAGAGGGGGAGAGGGGGAGGGAGAGGGAGAGGGCAGGGGAAGAGGGAGGGCCGAGTGGGCGGAAGAGGAGGAGGAAGGGAGGGAAAATGAGAAGGAAGAAGGAGGAGAGGAGAAGAGAGGAGAGGGAGAGGAAGAAGGAATGGGAGACGGGGGAGAGGAAGAAGATAATGAGAGGGGAGAGGGAAGAAGGGGGAGAGAAGAAGAGAGGGGAGAGGAGAAGGCAAAGGGAGAGGAGGAAGGAGAGGAAAAGGGAAAGAGAGGGAAAGGAGAAAGGAGGGGAGAGGAAGGGAGAGGGAGAGAGGAGGAGAGGGGAGATTGAGAGAAAGGAGAAGAGGAAGGAGAGGGGAGACTGAGAGAGAAGGAGAGGAGAAGGAGAGGCAGGAGAGGGAGGAGAGGGAGAGAAAAGGGAGAGAGAACTAATATACTGGAAACTAGAGGGAGTCTTAAAAAAAAAAACAATACCAATAGAATCCTGCGAGGCACTCAAGTCTAAAGAAGTTGTAGCTTTGGACGCAGACAAGGGAATGGCTGGCTGGAATCTCAATATTGCTTCCTGTAGCGATTTGGTGTTGATGATGACGAAACGCATCACAACACCTTCAACAACATCAACTCCATCTCCGTCGTCATCACCATCATCTGAGACAGAAATATATTATGTGTGAAAATTCTGCTTCAACAATCATTGCTGCGTTAATAATCTTTCTTAACATCTACTTAATTTAACATCTAAACAACATTTTTAAAAAGCCTTTAAAAATTCTTCAAAGGGAACAGTATTCATAATATATATATTTTTTTATGAAGATATTCTTTATCAATGTACATCACACACAGAAGATAACCTTCATATACACAACATAGAAAAAAACAATGACAGACCACCTACCATGAATGTTGTGCGCATGATCATGAGCGTGGTCATGTTTCCACCTTTTGTAGGGTTTCCATGCTGCATCTGTCACAGCCAAAGAGAGGGCAGGGTACTGCACAGGGAGCTCTGAGACTGACACCAGCCGGGCACTGCCACCACTTCCACCACCATTTTTGACACCGATGCAGTTTCCGCTGGTGCCTATTCCGCCACTATTCCCTACACTTCCACCGCTGTTGGCATTACCATCTTGGCACACCACAATCACATACATGACCTGAAAGTAAGGCAATGACCTTCTGATCCTATCTCTTTTATGGACAAAAAAGAGAGAAAGAGAAATTGGGGAAGAAGAACTGAAAAGAGAGGGAGAGGAGGGTAAAAAGTAATTGGGGAAGAGGAACTGAAAAGAGAGGGAGTGGAGGAGGGTAAATAGTAGAGTCAAAAAGACATAAAAGACATAAGAAAAAATATTTCAAAAATGGAGATAAAGAGAAATAACCTCTAAAGAACAATACTACTGTATAAGAATTACATAAAAAAATAACACCAGAAACAAAAGAAAAAAGGAGAAAATAGAAAGAACTAAAATTAAAACCCCCTACTCACACGGCGGTTGATATCTGAGAGGAGGAGGAAATTAGCAGAGGGGTCCATGGCAGCCTTGAACTTGAGGGGACCCAGGGACGGGGAAGGGACGAAGCGTAGTGTCTGGTGACACTGCCACGATTCACACGACCAAACACGCAGCTCAGAATTGTTGCAGGCACCTGTGACGGCATACTTCCAAAACTGAACCCTTGGGAAGATAAAGAAAAAAATATTGAGTATATAAATATACATAGATATATACATATACATTTTATAAATAATGAAATTGGTTTTGGAGACTTACATTCACATAAATTTAGTTTTTTGTACAACTAGTCACATATATAAAACCTACGTCTTCCTTACCTGAATAACCAATTAATCATCCAATTTACCATATAACAAACAAACAAATAACGAAACACACAAGAAAAATAAAACATTCACTAAAGGAAAACCTAAAAGACAAGACAACACAGATTCAAAATGATAAGTTTTGTCATCCACAGTGTACAGAGAACTCATTATGCTGATCTGCTGTGGCTTTGCACACAAATCT